AAGATGACTCCTACTATGCCAAAATTTATATTTGTGTCCCCTAGTCCTACTATTCTCACTATTAAATATGAAAATAAGATGGTGCATCAACACTATCAATTCCCTTTACAATCTTAAACACCTCAATCAAATCCCCCCTAAGTCTTCTTTTTTCAAAAGAAAACAATGAGATTTCAACCTCTCCTCATATGACAACCCTTCCATCCCAGGCACCATTCTAGTAACCCTTCTCTGAACACTTTCTAACAATTCAATGTCTTTCCTAAGGTAAGGAGCCCAAGAATGAATACAATATTCCAAATGTGGGCTAACAAGTGACCTATACAAAGAAATTATAACCTCTTTAGACTTGTCTTCAATATTTTTGTAGTTACAACTTAAAATCCTATTTGCCCTACCACTAACAACAGCACACTGCTTGGATGGCTTAAGAGACTGAACAACCATTATCCCAAGATAGCTTCCTTTCATAATGCTGTTAAGGTTATTCCCATCCTAATTATACTTATAATTTAAATTATGATAACCCACATGCATTATCTTGCATATATTATGATTAAAACCCACCTGCCATTTATTTGCTCAACTAACTAAATTATCTAAATCCTTTTGTTAACCAGCAGCATTCTATTCACAGCTAACAACACCCAAGGCCTTGATATCATCTGCAAACTTAAGTAATTTACAGATCATTCCTTCATCTATGTCTGATATAAATAAAAAAGAGCAAAGGTCCTTAGACTGAGCTCCAAGGTACCCTACTTGTAACATTTATCCAGTTTGACTGAACTCCATTTGTAACAACCCTCAGCTTTCTTCCATCTAGCCACTCTTCTATCCAATTTGCTAATTTATCCCCCACACCTATAGAGATAGTTTTTTTTACAAGCCTTTTATGTGGTATGTTGTCAAAGGCTTTCTGAAAATTTACATACACCAAATCAACATCCTTACTCTCATCTACATAAGCAGTAACCTTTTAAAAGAATGTCATTAGATTTGTAAGGCAAGATTTTCCCTTAATGAAACCATGTTGACTATCCAGTTAAATTCTAAACTTTGTTAAATGGCTTTGCAAAGCATCTTTTATCAGATTTTCCAGAACTTTTCCAACAACTGATGTAAGACTAATGGGCCTATAATTACTGGGAAAATGTTTATCCCCTCCCTTGAAAAAAAAAAGAGTTACATTAGCTAACTTCCAATCCTCTGGTACCTGCTCACTGTTCATTAACTTACAATAAATAGTAGCAGGTGGCTCACATAACCAATCCTTAACCTCCTTTAACTCTTTTGACATGGGATCAGTCAATTTTACCGAGTCATTTAAAGTTGACATAAATTTAATACTTATAACTCTCTATATAATGGGTATATATATTTGGCAGTCTCTCAGTTAATATTACAAGTCTTTCACATACAAAGTCATATTTCTTAGTGAAGTACTTTTAATAAAATAAAATAAAGTTTTGTCCATGAATATATTGAGTATCTGTTATGAATAGTCTGTGTGCAAAGTAATTTTCATGTTAAAATTAAAAATACTTTTCATCATCTCAAAAATCTCAAATTTCCTTTGTGTAATCCCTAAAACCTCCTAAATGCATTTCAAACGTTTTTTTTTTCACTAAATCCTTATAGTTTATATGTA